CTTGCCCCATTGGGCACTGAGGTAGTTGGCAGCCGGAAAGCAGGTTTTTGGACCCCTGAGGCAAAATGCAGCAGAGCAGACTCTGGTCTTCTTCAGCAACATCAAATTTGCCTGCAAAGCAAAAGTTTTTGCCACCAGGAGGCAACTGAGGTTGCCACTTCCTCCAGGCGCAACGTCCAACAGGACCAGAAGCACCATCAGATGAACAGGGTCAGTGCTACTAACAGCGGTTAATCCACGATGCCACAGGACTGTCGGAAACAGATCAGCTCTGCAATTTGAAGCCGTGCGATGGAGCAACAAAGATACTCATTTAGAACTAGAAAGCTGGTGACCGCTTGCAGCTTGGCTGCTGAGACTGCCCGGATATGATCAAGATAGCCCTCGGAGGTTTTGGGGGGCTGAGATAGACCGGCCCTCTTGCCACGTTTGGAGGATGCTGTGACCGGCCTTGGGTATGCCAACTACCAAGAGGCCTGGCTAGCCCTCTTGGCACGTTCAGGTGTGCCGGGCTTCTTAAATTTGGCATCGCCTTCCCAGTATGTTTGTGTGTGTTTACGTTTATATATCTCTGATGTCAAACTTTTCACAACTTATCAAAACTTGTTGGACTGTTTTGCAAAACAGCGTAAGTACTGCGATTATCCTCATGCATATTTTCTGCTCAGTGTGCACAACGTTTGTACAGAACTGAGGGGAAACTCCACAGCATTTCACTACCTGGCAGGACCAATCAACTCCACATTACAAAAGACAGAAGGAGCATGAATGTGAGCAATCACCATGTCCTGATTTTCCAATTTCATCTGCTCTCGTGTATCCTTTCCTTCCATCTCTAGACGGCCCTTCCAGTACTGTTAGCTTGTCGGTTTGCTTCCCAGACCCCACTTTGTAACATGTCAATAAGTCCTTTTCAGTACAGGCTGAGAAAAATTATTTTGTGCCTGAGAATTCAACAGAATTTCCCTTTGCACATGCAGAAACAAGATTTACACACAGAGCAAGAAGGGTTTCCCGCAGCTCCCACCTTCCAAACTCTTCTTAGAAACCTGGTATTAAAATAACTGCATCCGAGGCATTGAGAGCATTCAAAGTATAAATAAGCAGGCAACCCAGTTTTAGAATATCTCCTGTAGAGCTTTCAGGGACAACACACTTAAGCTGCCACTAATTTCAGTGGTGTTAAAACAGCCATTCACATTACAGATAATTTATTGCCACTGGAAATATTCAGTAAATCCACGATAAAGCTGGGGAAAGTGATGGGAGAATTAGGGAAAAGCAGGGCTTTCCATCCTTCTAAGTGTAATCACAAACAGCAGCTTTGCATTCAAACAGACAAAGCAGGATTAGGGTTAAAAAAAAATTAGTGGGTAAATGCCATCAAGATGATGAGGAATGATGGAAGGGAGGCATATGTAACCAAAGGCCAAAGGAAGCAAATAACATCTCCCTTGTCAGAGAGGGAAATTCCTTGGGGTATACTGGACTCTGTTATGTTCTGTGGGTTGAAGTTGGAACCGACTTACATAGACCCTAACAAGGTAAGTCAGATATTTAAGGAGTGGCTTTACCAGATCCACGTCCCCGTGGGCATCCATGGTTGAGCAGAGATTCAAAACAAGGCCTTCTGAGTCTTAGTCTGTCATGCTATCCGCAACACACACTGAACCCTGTATTCTCCAGCAATAACTGAATATGCAGGATACCTTCCCTCTCATTGTATTTCTATGGCTGATCCATGCCAATCTAAAGCAAGCATTAGGCACACACATATACAGTATATACACTTGTGTTAATTTCCCAATAAAAGATCAAAGAACAAGCAGGGCCAGCCCAACATTAGGCGGAGTGAGGCAGCTGTCTCAAGTCCTAATGTGCCAATGCTAGAAGTGACAACTCTCTTGCCATTCCTTTCTGAGTCCCCATGGTTATTCCTCAGTCTTGAGGGACAGAGTTGTGTCTTCCACACAGCTGTTTTTGCATACCCAAACAAGCTGGCTCCTGCAGCTGGGGTGGAGGACTCTATCCAACCACCTGCATCGAAGGAAAGTTCAAGACCTACCCAACAGTCAGCATCTGTCCATGGAATGAAGGGAGGGGTGCCATCTTGTCTCTTGCCTCAGGCAACTGAGTATCTTTGACTGGTGTTGCACATCAGTACAGTGCTGCCACGCACAACATGACTCCAGTTTATAGGATGACTATCTGCCCTGTGTATCTATGGTTGGAACACCAGAAGCTACGCAATATTGGGTTATACTGGTAGCCTATCATCTGGGTCTCTCTGCTTTTGTCTCTTTCAGAGGTCTCGCTGACTACCTGCCCTATGAGCCGTTTTTCAAGTAGAGGTCCTGTGACTGCATCTGGGACATAATCTCCCAAGACAAGAGGGGTGTGTTTGTAGGGAATACAATCCCGGCTTCATCCACATCATGAGTTTTTTTTTCCCCCAGCAACCGCCTGGGGTATAAAGTGACGACACTTTTTTAAATCAGATTTTGAATACAGGATGTTGCTGGTTCCAACATTCCAGCCCTCTTCATTTTTACAGGGACCTCTGACATCAATGCCTGCACAATACAGCATGCTTTCAAGCAGTCCCTGGTGTAGCCATTTCCCTGCTGGTTAGGAAATCCCCTTGCAAAAGGGCACCACCTCTGATATAGGACTCTCAAGGTTCCACTTGAGCAGATTTCAGCACGCTGTCTGCTGCGATACATACACATCTGTCAGGCCTGTCAGGGTCTGCCTGGCCAATCAGCCCGAGGCGGAGAAAGAAAGAACAATTTCCTTCCTGAACATCAGCTTGAGGAGCCAAGGCGTACGGGAGCCAAGGGAGAAAGGCAGGGGAAGTTCCAAAATGTAGGAAACGACTTCTATCGCAACTATGTGCAATGGGGACAGTGCTTCGTCACTTTGTTAATGGAGTGGGGGAAAAATGGACAGAGAGGACACCTGGCTTGGGTAGAAATGGAAAAACAGGATGTGTAAGGACTTGGTGACAGGACAACCGCAAAACAGTGGCTTGTTGACTAGACCAGCCTCTTAAGAAAGCTGTGCTAAGTTTTAACTAGAGTAAATTAATATCTAGCTGGCATTAAACTATTTATGTCTCTCTGTCCTCAAATGCATATGCCTAAAGCTCTGGTACTAGTGGATAGAGTGACAGACGAGGACTAAAGAGACCTGGGTTCAAATCCTCACTCAGCTAGAGAAACTTACTTGGGGGTGGCACTGGTAAAATCGCACCTGAAATGCCCCCCTTACCTTGAAAGCCTTATTGATTTGATGGCACACAATCCACACTGCCATGTAGCCCACCTTGCTGTTACTATTCCGAATGGATACTATGAAAAGAGGGAAGGAACAAGAGCTGATGTTTGCAAAATGTTTTCAAGTCATTATATGAAAGCCTATTTCATGAAAGACTGGTTTGCTAGTGAACGCTTCCATTTCTGCTGGTGATTCCATGTTTTAGCTCGAGAAGCTTTGCCTGCTTTTGTCAATCCAAGTCCACCTGGGCTTTTAAAAATCTTACATCTTTTAAGGCTCATTTCCTATCTTTTGCTTTAGCCTAGGGTAGGAACCAACTTCCCTCCAAATGCTTTTGGGTTCTATCTCCCTTTATCTCTGACTGCTGGGGTTGGTAGCCATTGGGAGCCCACCAGCCCTCAGGAAGGGCTACAGATCCATTGTTTTAGCTCTTTTTTGGCTGAAGCTGTCTGTTTTTCCAAGAAAAATTACAAATATATTCCATGGCAACCTCTTCACCTCCAGACATTCTATATATAGTACAATATTAGCTAAACTGAGCTCTGGTGGCTGGATTTAAGGCCATTTTTCACAACTGGTGCATAAAATGGGGACTTAAAGTATACCTGGATTCTCCAAACTTGTCAATTACATCTGTCTTCACCCAACAGGACACTTACACAAGGAAGTTTCAAGACCTATAAGACTCCTTGTTTTCAGGACAAGTCACATCCCATTCTAACCTTTCATTAAGGCCTCTGTAATTTGCAAAAAAAAAAATGCCTATTCACAAAACTGGAGTCCTTTCTTTTTGAGAAGAAACACACACTCATGTACAGCAAACACAGAGAGGCTGTTTGCTTATAAAGATGCTAACTTGTCCAGAGCTGCTACTCGGTAGACATTCAGGCCGCAGAGCAGTAGCCCTCACAGTTTTCGCAATCTGTATTATTTCGGTTAAAGTACTAGATGCACAGTTTGTGCAAATTTACAGAAACAATGGTTCTCCTTCCTTTCTCTTATCAAGAGTACAAAAGCAAAAACAAATACACAAGCAAGCAAACAGTTCACTGTCTGATGGGTTCCCAGTCTTCTATACGCAAAGAGGAGGTGAGCCAAAACTGGCTTCTCTCATGCAAAAAAACCCCCTTTCCTACTCAATGCCACTGGCTGAAATGCAAAGAGGAGGTGAGCCAAAACCCGCTTCTCTCATGCAAAAAAACACACACACCCTTTCCTACTCAATGCCACTGGCTGAAACAAAACAGCAGCAGCTGGAAGAGCCCTGTCAAAAGAAGGGGTTAGAATATGAATGGGTAACTCACAGTCCCTGCTGGTTTCTATTCTGCATCCCACCAGCTCCCCTTCACATCCAAGCATCCCCACATTTGTTTTACATTTGGTTTCAAGAAAGATGATAGAGCTGAGGCTTAAATTAGCCACACGTGAGAGCAATTAGCAGGATCCTGTGAGGCTGACAGAAACACCTGCAGAGGTTTAAAATTGTTTAGAGAGAAATTAATTGAAGCTCCCCCATTGCAAACAACAAAGGCCTTGTTGTAACAAGGTCCTTACAGACTACCATCGATTGGCTTTTAGACAACAGCCCCATAGGTTGCTGTCATTGGTCAGCAGCACCCCCAGGGTCCACTTGAGGCCCACAGCTTGGCAAGGGACCCATAGGAAAATCTTGGGACCTCCTGGCCACGTTCGTTCTTCTTGCTTTTGTTGAAGGCGAGGTTTGGTTGGAAGAGAAAAGAAATAGGCAGTGGATGGCTAACTTAAAGATGGAAACTCAATGAAGGCAACTTGTCCCAATGTTAGAACCGATCCTGGAAACTACAGTTATAGATCTGGATACACATTTAAAGCAGCCAGGCAGGGAGGCAGTGGCACTGGTCCAACAGCTAGGGGTGTTGTATTACTGGAAGGGGTAGAGAGCAGCCCAACTCAAAATTGCAGGATGAGATGCATCCTGTTCTCAGATCATAAGCCAGCAGCAGGAACAGTTACTTCATCTATGAGCATTGGGCTAAATCTAATTCTAATCTCTAGTTCAAGTAGAGGCCTTGCAATCAATGGGACTAATATCAGTGTAGACGAACAAGTCTTGTTCATTTTACTGGATGTACCATAGTGAGAATTAAAAATGCAGCTAGCTCTGGGAAGCTGCTTAATACCACTACTCCCTCATCAAACATAGTTCAGACCAACGTGGAATACTCTTCAATTCTTGGGCAAAGGTTTTTCTTGTTGCATCCTACCTGATCTCTGGAGATCTCAGGGATTTAACCAGGGACCTCCTCCAGATAATTTTCTTGGCCACTGAACTATCTCGAGCCTTCTTGTACCTGACTATAAACTGGAATCCAAGCCCTAGCCCGCAAAGTAAATATCTGAATCCATATCTGGAGTAGTTGTTGCCCACCTTAGCATCCACCCCAACCACCATCAGGCAAAAAGGGAAAGCTTCAAAGGTAGAACCTCAAATGTGGAAGGTCCTCTTCTGTTGACCAGGCAAGAATAGATAAAAATTTGTGACATGGGTGCCAGGCCTAAACAACTCACTAGTCGTCTGATGCAACATTTCGGTCCCCTCTTAGTCTTGAGGAACAATTTGGTTGTCTCTATGATTACACAACACACAAATACGTACCAGAGACTGTGAAACAACTATTGCAGTAGCTTGGCTTCAGACTAACTTAGCATTGAAGATTCCCTGAAATCAGTGGGATAAAGTTAGTTATGACTTCTTTCACAGTTAGTTATTATTTCAGTGGGAGCCCAGTTCAAGTCAGGTATCCAACCCAACCTATATTGCATCGTCTGCTAAGGCCTGCACATTCGTATAGCGCTCTTCTCTCTCTGTAAAGCTGTTCTTCTCAACGTTCTGACAGGTGACGAACACATGACAGCAAACCGTCCCACTGGGACTGCGCACCTCCATGCCTGCAGACTTTGTAAATACTGATCAGCCGAAGGACACAAATATACATCAGCCATGACATCTGAACACATTTACCCAACAGAGTTCCAGCTGTATGTGTGAGGCTAATATTCACCCCCTCAGCCCCAGAGAATATTCAATGGGATCCTGAGAAAGAGAAGGTTCTGGGCTCCCCATCAAAGAACTATTTTTGAATGTCGATCTGAGAATCTCTATCTCCAGCAGGCAGGTACATGAAATCCAGTATCCACCTTTGCCTCTGGCTTCTGGAAGGAACCAAGGCTCTTCTCTCCAAAATTCCTTCAGACATCTGGCTGCTGGGGGAAAAAAAGGCAAAGGAGAGTTTTTTTTTCATCCTCCACCATCTGGCCCAAAGGGATATGTGTACTCTGCATGCATATTTTTTTTTAAAAAAAAAGCATGGCAGGGAAACCATGGTAACCAACCACCACCACCACAAAAATCAAATTCTACACCTAAAGCTGGTCTGCTGTTTGGAGAGGTAAGGCCCTACCATGAAGCAGAGAGAGGCGACAGCCTTATGGGGCATGGCTTGCGCGTCCCACCTCTGAACTAAGGTGGCGCCCGGATGAGGAAAATTTACTTTTGTACACAACAATCCCCTGGCAACAAGCATTCTCACTGTCTTCCTTTCTCACGCCACAAAGAATACCTCTTCTATTGGTGAAGAGGTATACTGAAAACACATAGGGATTTATCTTAAAGGTGTATGCTTTTTGTTTGCTTTTTTTGCTTCAGAGCTACTCATCATGCACACATGCTAATCAGTGGCATAAAAACAATCTTCCTCATTTAATTGATCAACCATGTGCCAGCCCATTTGTTTGTTGAATTATTTACAATTTTTAGATGGGTGGGGGTGGAGGGGAATACACCATTTGATTTTCTGCCTCAGGCACCAAAACTTCTTGGGCCGTCATTGTCTACAATGTGTATAAATTATGGAAATTAAACTCATTTGCACCCTTTTGCATAATTTATTCCCCTTGCCCCCATTAAGCAATGGATGGGACAAGGGGAGAGTCCAGGCACAGAAAAGAGCACCTCTTTCCAACCCACCTAATTGAGGAGGCAATATTTTAATATTTATTGCATTAAATCTCCCCAAACTGACTGCATCAAAAAAATTTAAAAAATGATCATGGCCACTGGTCCCATCACCTCCTGGCAAACAGAAGGGGAAGATATGGAGGCGGTGACAGATTTTACTTTCTTGGGCTCCATGATCACTGCAGATGGTGAGACCAGCCACGAAATTAAAAGACGCCTGCTTCTTGGGAGGAAAGTGGTGACAAACCTCGACAGCATCGTAAAAAGCAGAGACATCACCTTGCCAACAAAAGTCCGAATAGTCAGAGCTATGGTTTTTCCTGTCGTGATGTATGGAAGTAAGAAATGGGCCATAAAGAAGGGTGACCGCCAAAGAATTGATGCTTTTGAATTATGGAGCTGGGGAAGACTCTTGAGAGTCCCCTGGACTGCAAGGAGAACAAACCTATCCATTCTGAAGGAAATCAAGCCAGAGTGCTCATTGGAAGGACATATCCTGAAGCTGAAGCTCCAATACTTTGGCCATCTCATGAGAAGATAAGACTCCTTGGAAAAGACCCTGATGTTGGGAAAAAGTGAAGGCAAGAGGAGAAGGGGACGACAGAGGATGAGATGGTTGGATAGTGTCATCGAAGCGACCAACATGACTTTGACACAACTCCGGGAGGCAGTGGAAGACAGGAGGGCCTGGCGTGCTCTGGTCCATGGGGTCACAAAGAGTCGGACACGACTTAACAACAAACTGACTGCAACTTACTTCAGAGCAGACCTGAACAGAGACACACATTTCCACTTTTGGAACTTTGCCATGTGTTCTTCAGTAATCCTGCAGTTCCTGTCATAGGCTGCATTTTTCCTAACCTTGCACAGATTGTGCCACAGCACCGCACCCAGCGCTCCCTGTCAGTACCACAGTAACTAACCCAATACCTTTTTCAACAAATAGCCTTACGAAAGGTTCATCCCAGTTGACAATATGTGCCAGCCATCAGTGGATTAACTTCTGAGCATGAGACCGGAAGTGACAGGGGCCCTCTTCTAAGGCTGAGTGACAAGACATTGAGGAGAAAAGGAAAAGGACTGAATAACATGGGGCAGGAAACACAAGAGAAACACAGAATGCAGAAGAGAAGTAGATTACTGTCAGGGCTATGTATCTATACAGCTCAACACAACCTCACAAGGGCTCAATTAGAGTTTGGAACAAATTAAGTTACAGAAAACACCAGTTACAACACCTCTAACTAGCTACTTTATGTAACAAATAATGCATCTCATAGTTATAAAGTTGCATTTTATTTATTTATTTTAGGTTTATCAATACCTAAATAATTATGTATAAATAAGCAACTCTTTGCTACTTTTAAAAGTTACCATTACAGGAACTTTGATGTACTTTCAGAGACATTTTTTCAGGTTTGATGTCATGTTTTATATCAAAACAAGAGATTTTGGTTTTGCCTTTTGTCTTTTTATAAATATTTTTAGTATCGGAACCTACCACTAGGGGAAAGCAGAAAGAATATATCTATATTGTTCTGACCTGCTGGTAAGAACAATGTTAACATCATGCAAACAACTTGCCTTTCTAGTGCCATTATATTGATAACATCAACCAGCTGAATGAGAATGAGCAACACAAAAAACACAATAAGTTCCCTTTGAAATGCAGTGTTCCGAAGTCTGTGTTCAATACAGTAGAGAATTAAGTATACTTAATAATAGTTACTTTCCAAAAGTAACTTTCTAAAAGTAACTATTTCCAAAAGTAACTATTTCTAGTACTTATTTAGATTGGCTTAGAAGTCTATATAATACATCTGATGAAGGTGCAAACACCAGAGGAGTGATGCAGTATGGTTTCCTCTCTCTGTGTTCATTCCTATACACACATACATGATATGTGGAAGTGCACACATTACATTAAGCTGAAGATGCTTTCAAGCCACATCCTTTAACATAGAAAGCCTCTCTCTCATACCGACTGCTGTTTTAAGAAAAGTACTCTGGACATGCCGAGGGGTACATTTTCCCATTCAAGCTAGGTGGCTGTGCATCTATCAAGTGGCAGAGCTGTGTTTGTAGTTTACGAATAGTCCTATGTCACGGAACACATTATCCAGGGTCATTGGGCTACTGGCTACTGTCACGGACATGCTAACTGCAATACATCATTTTTTCCCTTCTCTATGTGCACAAGTTACTGCATGCTGGTTAACAACTAAATGCAGTCGGGAGACTTTATGACCTGGTGAAATGAGTTTTCCCCCATCCTCGGCTATTATCTCAGCACATTTCAAAGACCTTGTATTCTATTCTCGATCATCCCTCCAGGAGGTTGTCAGAAGGAGGAATATTTGCCATGGTCAATTCTCTCCCGCGTGGAGCTTCCA